GCTCGATTGGCATCACATCCACAAACATCCCACTCCCTCCCCCCACCGACGCTCAGTCGCAGCAGTGTGTACCATCTACAAGATGCTCTGCAGAAATTCACCAAAGATCCTCAGGCAGCACCTTCCAAACCCACGACCACTTCCATCCAGATGGACAAGGGGCAGCAGATACATGGGACCCCCACCCCCTGCAAGTTCCCCTCCGAGCCACTCACCATCCTGACTTAGAACATAGAACATAGAACATTACAGCGCAGTAGAGGCCCTTCGGCCCTCGATGTTGCGCTGACCTGTGAAACCAATCTGAAGCCCATCTAACCTAAACTATTCCATTATCATCCATATGTTTACCCAATGACCATGTAAATGCCCTTAAAGTTGGCAAGTCTACTACTGTTGCAGGGAGGGCATTCCATGCCCTTACTACTCTCTGACTTGGAAATATATCGCCATTCCTTCAGTGTCGCTGGGTCAGAATCCCTGGAATTCCCTCCCTAAGGGGACATTGTGGGTCAACCCACAGCACATGGACTGCAGCGGTTCAAGAAGGCAGCTCACCCCCTCCTTCTCAAGGGGGGGCAACTAGGGACGGGAGTAATAAATACTGAGCCCAGTCAGCAACGCCATGCATGAATTTAAAAAATGGTGGAGATAAAGAATGTGACAGAGCTGCAGGGAGAAATGGGGAGAGCAAAGGAGTTATGGGAGAGTGGGCGAGAGTGTGAAAGGGATGGAGGGAGAGATGGAACGAGTGTGAGAGGTGGAGGGAGAGACGGAGAGAAGGTGATAGAGCTGGAGGGCGAGATGGAGAGAGTGTTACTAGAGCTGGAGTGTGAGAGGGAGAGAATGTGACAATCTGGGGGAAGAGATGGAGAGAGTGTAAACAGTCCTGGGGGAGAGATGGAGAGAGTGTGACGGACCTGGAGGGAGAGATAGAGAGAGCGTGACAGAGCTGGATGGAGAGACGAGGGAGTGTCACAGAGCTGGATGGAGAGAGTGTAAGAGAGTTGGAGGGAGAGATGGAGAGTGTGTGTGAGAGATGGAGGGAGAGATGGAGAGAATGTGACAGAGCTGGATGGAGAGACGTGCCTGCTATTCACCAATCGGGTCTGTCCTCCCTCAGGTAGGGAGTCACGTCACGGGGGGAGATGTGTACGGTTCGGTTCTGGAGAACTCATTAATAAGACACAAGATCCTGGTGCCCCCGAAGAGCAGAGGAACAGTCACCTTCATCGCTGTGGCTGGTCACTACGACACGACTGTGAGTATAACTCAGGTTCCCCCTGGAGCTGGGCTCTGTCTGACAGGCCTGGGGTTAGGCCACTGACTGTTCTCTGCTTTCTCCAACAGGAGGTGCTCTTGGAGCTGGACTTTGAAGGGCTAAAGGAGCAGCTGACCATGGTCCAGGTCTGGCCAGTGAGACAAGTGAGGCCTGTATCTGAGAAACTACCATCTAACCACCCCCTGCTGACTGGGCAGCGAGTCCTCGATGCCCTGTTCCCGTGAGTACAGCGGGGAGGCCAGCGGTCTCCCTCTTTCTCCATTTCTCTCTCTCTCCATCTCCCTCCTTCTCCCTTTCTCTCTCTCTCTTTCCCTCTCTCTCTCCATCTCTCTCTCCCCATCTCCTCTCTCTATCTCTCTCCTTCTCTCTCTCCATCTCCCTCTCTCTTGACATCTCTCTCCATCTCCCTCCCTCTCATTCTTCCCCTCTCGCTCTCACTCCCTCCTGCTCCCCTAACACTGTCTCTCACCCTCTCTCTCTCTCCTTCTCGTTCTCTCTCTCTCTCTCTGTTTCTCTCCCCCTTGCTCTCTCTCCCTCTGCCTCTCTCTTGCTCTCTCTCTCCATCTCCCTCCTTAACTCTCTCTCTCACACTCTGTAATCCTCTTTGTCCCTTGTAAACCCCCTCAGTCTTATTCCAAGCCAAAACACGTTCTCCACTCCTACCCCAAACTGTGAGATCCCTCCCCCCAGCGCTGATTGCGGGATCCCTCCCCACAGACTTATCCACCTCCTTTTTGAATGTGCTGCCCACCTCTTTGCCAACTCCTGACCCCAAGCTGACTCCATTTGAACCTAGTTGACCCCAACTGTCTCTATCTCGCACATTCTCTATCACACCCTCTGTGTCTCTCTCACTCTCTCTTCCTCTATCTCCCTCTCTCTCTATTTCTCTATCTCTCAACTTCATACTCTCTCTCTCTTGCCATCTCTCTCTGTATATCTCTCCCTCCCTCTCTCTATTTCTCTATGCCCCTTTCTCTATCTCACGCTCAGTCTCTCTATTCCCCTCTCTCTCTTCACCTCCGTTCCTCTCCCTCTCTCCATCTCCCTCTCTCTCTATATCTCTCGGTATATCTCCCAATCTCATTCTCCCTCCCTCCATCTCTCTCTCTCTCTTTTTCTATATCTCTCCGTATATCTCCCAATGTCCCTCCCTCTCTCTCTCTCTCCCTCTCTCCATCTACCTCTCTCTCTCCCTCTTTCTATATCTCTCGGTATATCTCCTAATCTCATTGTCCCTCCCTCCATCTCTCTCTCTTTCTCTTTCTATATCTCTCGGTATATCTCCCAATCT